CTCCTCCTCGTTTTGTCTAAGTTCCTGAGTATCGTGTGGGAACTTCCTGATTTTGTTCGACATGTAACACGCTAGGCCACGATAAGTATCAGCTCGCGTAAGTTCAACGATTTTAGAAGGGATGAAGTCGATTTCATGTCGCGTTTCCTCGTAAAACTATAAATCTGTGATGTGACCCCCATCCGATCCGAACGCGCGATCTTCTACTCCAGAGCCCAATACGATACCGTTGCACCACATGACTATCAACGCAAGATTGTTTGGCGGCTTTGGGAACAAGTATGCTCATTATTCCATTCAACCAAATCTAGACGTGTCGATATATCTGAGGAATGTAGTTACACGTGAATAATTTACTGATATTGGTGCCACTTAAAGACAGTGCTGTATGCTCACTCGTCATAGCGATTATCTACAACAGATCGTATTAGTTTACTCTTTCATACTGAAAACATGATGCGGATAAAGTAGTTGATTATGTTCCTTCGTGTAATTCGTATTCGAACTTCGAATTTGTGGGACCAAGTAGAGGCGTGTAGAAGGGAGTGAATTTCTTCGAGCCCCTTAATCAACATATGGCTCGTAATTGAACATATTCCTCTGATGCGATTCCTTGTCAACTGAATGGGCCACGGTTGACTGTGCAATTCAGCTGAGTTGAGCGTGGCTCCTTGCGTATGGCTCACTAGCTTTCGATCTCCGCTTAGCATGAGTGCGATGGTCTACGTGAAGCTTCGCTTTAGAGAATCTCTTGGGAAACTTTACCAACATGAGGTGTTCCAAGAAGGTAGCTCGATCTAGGTGATTCAGTAGAGCTGCAGATTTGTCTTGGCTCTGTTATGATACATATCATACATAATCATCTCTAGTCTGAGCAAAACAAAACCTTTATGTTAGTTGACATTAATCTTCTTCTTCCCCATGAAGGTCGTTTTCACCATCGCTGCTCTGTCCGTGGCCGTCGCCGAGTATTGTCAGGATATTTGTGATGGTTATTCTCCCTGTGCTGACTCGAAGTATGGCTCCTACTGCAAGGGCAACGGTGTCTGCTTCGGTCTCTACCATAAGGATGATGGTTACTGCTTCCAGCCGACCGAACAGGACACCTGTGATGACTACACGTTGGAGCCGGTGGCTTGTCCCGAACCCACACCCACCTGTCACGACGTCTGCAATGATATGTCTCAGTGCCACGATTCCAAGTGGGGATCGTATTGCAGACTTGGCAGATCCGGCGTTTGTTTCGGTATCATCAAGAA